CGTCATCATAACACCCTTTCACAAAGTTCGATGCAGATCCCCCCTTTGCAAACCGAGCCCCAAAAGGCCCAGTCCACCCATCGACCCATCGTCCATTGTCCATCATTGTCCACCTCCACTCAGGATGCCCAAGTGGTAAGGCTCTGCCCGACAGAAGCGCCGCCTGCTCCTCTTTGTGCTGGTGCTGCAGTGCTTTACGCTTTGTGTCTCTCCGGGCAGATGCTCTACATAGGCCGGCAGGCTGCAGAAAGCTGTGGTGTGTGAGAAAAATGAGGGTGAGAGAGAGAGAGAGAATAGAGTGAGAGAGAGAGAGAGAGAATAGAGTGAGAGTGAGTGAGCGAGCGAGCGAGGGAGGGAGGGAGGGAGTGAGCGAGCGAGTGAGTAAGTGAGTGAGCAAGCGAGTGAGCGAGCGAGTGAGGGAGTAAGTGAACGAGTGAGGGAGTGAGTGAACGAGTGAGGGAGTCAGGGAGTGAGTGAGTGAGTGAGTGAGTGAGGGAGTGAGTGAACGAGTGAGGGAGTGAGGGAGTGAGGGAGTGAGTGGGGTTTAGACTTGCCTGTGAAGCAAGCTGCTCAGACAACCAGATCGCTCAGACGACCCGCCCCTTGTTCATATTTAGTAAGGACATGTTCATAAGGACACTGTGCGTAAGCAAAAACCGGAATTGCGTAAGGTTGCGTAAGTATGTTTTGGCTGTAGCGCTTGTGTAAGCAAAGTGCGTAAGCTTGACTTCTCCATGTATTTGTGTGTTTGCTTCAATTTTCAAGTATTGGGATACTAGGAAACCAATCAATACCAATCAGATGTGTTGAGACATGTTTGTTTGAGGAACCTATTGTACATGTTTTTTTTTTGCAGGATTCTTTCAATGTGGCGCCCCATGTTCGTAGATAGATTCTTTGTATTTTCTTTGTATTTTGTAGATTGTGCACAGCACTACGTCTTCACAAACTAGTTTGAAGGTGTGCATGACATGACAAGACAGTGTGAACAAGTGGCTTTATGAGGGGAAGCCTCGGAAGCCCTGAGAATTTGCAGTGTTGAGAGTTTGGGTGCGTAAGGTTCGCGTAAGCCTAAGCAGCGCGTAAGGTCCGCGTAAGCTCCCCATGGCGTTTTGAGGGGTAGCCACGATGGCGCCCAAACCAAAGCCATACTCAGAGCTGCACAGGCTGCAGCTTAAAAGGATCCTTGACCTTGACCCTGTCTATGAAAAAGTCAAGTGCCTAAGTCAAAGGATCCGCCAAGGTAAAAAATGTCAAAAGTCAAGTGCGTAAGCTCGTGTTGTGGTGTGGTGGAGAGAGTTTGTCAGTATTTGTTTGCGTAAGCTCCGCGTAAGCGCTTCATGTCCCCTGCATGGCGCGTAGGCTGAAACGTTAGTCGCGTAAGCAAAGCGCAACCGTGTGCGTAAGCATCTCCTTACGAAACTTCGCTTCAAAGACAGGTTTTGAGCAACGCTCATTTGACCCTTCATGAGTGGCCGTCTAAGGCACGACCGGAAGAGGAAGAGCACGGAAAAGCAGAAACCCCCAACCAATGGACCAACATGGACCAACGTGTTTTACTTTTCTAATTTTTTTAATGTTTCTTCTCATCTTGAGACGTAGGATATCATGGGCAGTCTGTAGGTCGTTCCACAAAAGACCGCCTGCCATCGAGGACAAAGCGATCACTTCCGACAGCGGATGCGGCAACACCGGCAGCGCTTCGGAAGGCGGCTGGAAAGTGTGCTGCTGTTGCCTGTTGCGCCTAGGCAGAGGTGAATGTTAATTGGATTGCTCAATATGGCCCTCACGGGCTTCTGAGCCCATGCCAATCAGATTGCAGCTATGTCATGAAATGAGACGCTATGATTTGTGGAACATCTTGAAGAAATGCATCCCGTGCGGATCTATTTGATCTTTGGCAGATGCTGCTTCTTCCGTGGCCGAGGCGAACACTGCAGAGGCACGGCAGCTGGAGACCACTTTGCAGCGCCAGCTGTTACGTGCTGGAATCGCTTTGGAGTCCAGCCATGATTCCCAACACAGGTGCCCATGTAGCCTCCCAAACCGCGGGCTACATGGATGGGGGGGCCGTAGGTTAGGAGTGCGCGTGAAGATGTCCTAAGCATACAACTAACGTATAACAATGCGGAGACCTGAGACCGGGTCTTTGAGCTTCCTGCAGACTTTCGAAACATGAGGATGTACAATGTTGCCGAACTTGCTTGGATTCAGCTAAATGAATAAATCTTTGCAAGTTGTATTACCGCATGCCTCAAAGTCTTCCATCTATCCAGTGTTGGCCTTTGTAGTAATGTTGGAGGTCATGAGTCATACATGTTAAGACCAAAGCAACATCTACACATCGCGCGGTCGGGCCAGGAATTTCTCTGCGCGGAATGCTCTCAAGCTTGATCATCAGGTCGCAATCGCTGAAGCATTTGATTCTTCGCAGGAGAGTGGCTTCAATTATCTTCAATTACAAATTGAACACACTAGTTTTATGTTGGCTCACTCCAATGTAAACTGCTAAAAAACATGCCAAGCCCGCTCCCAGATCAACAAAGCATAGAACATCCAATTTCACATAGAACATCCACTTCTCCTGGTCGACATTCGATAGCAGACGCTCGTTCACTCTCGTAGGAGACGACGCTCGAGGGCGCTTCGGCCGGCCTGGCTGCTGAGAGGCGGAGGCTGCAGTGCTTGGCGGCGGAGCTGTTGGAGGTCGCGGAACGCTTGGAGCGGCACTCCACTGAGCTCTGATGAGGATGGCAAGTTAGAAGAGAAATGAAAGGATAGAAAAGGCATTCAAAAGCCTCCAGTCACTTTGGCACACATGTTGTTTTGGTCGTTGGGTTTGGGTGGCCATCAGATTCAGGATTCCAACTTGGACTGCTAATGATAAATGCTTGAAGCCCACTCTTGGCCGGAGAAGGCTCCAACATCCAATCAGTAGCTTTCCACGTTTCCTGGCAGATTTTGCAGTATTGAACTGGAAATAGAGTCCGCCTGAGTGAGGCTAAACAACAAATTGTTTTGATAATTTAATCGCTTTTCCATTTGCAGACTCTCCGCCAAAGAATCCACGGTTTTGTAGAGTTGCGAAGGTCCAATTCAACCTGATTTGATTCAATCTTAAACACGTAGATATTGCATGACGGATACAATTGGCCAATGATCAGAACGAAGCAGCAAAAATGTATTGCTGCGCCTTGCACAGCCTGTTTGTTGTGGGAAAAGGGCTGCCCGGCACGCATCAAAGATGCTATATAACGCCTCAGATGATCTCCATTATGTGAATCGCATGTAACATCCAAAGTTCACACAATGGCGGCTGGCCAGCTGCATTTGATTGCTTGATTTCTTGTACTGTAACTTGCTGTCAGACTGACAGAGGAGCTGACAGGAGCTTGCCCGCAGTTTCACCGTCAAGGTAGAGAAAGCCAATAGCCATGCGCGGACCACATGAGGCTTTAAGCCACTCTAAATTGGATGTGCAACATGACGCTTCCGCAGTTGATTGCAACATGTGCGACAGGCCACGTGCTTCGTGCCGTTCTCAAAAGGAACCTAGCACCACCGAGGGTCATGCTTCACGCTTGAGACACCCGGTGGGCGAAGAGTTTGCCGCGCCGAAAAGCCCCCAAGGTAATGCCGCAGATGAAGAGAAGTCCCTGAAGCACCAAAGCGTTCCCTGAAGTTCCCTGGGAACGTATGTCACGCCCATGGCCGTTTCTTTTTTTGGAGTTACAATGGACACGCCCATGGTTTTCCTCAGTTTGCCATCTCCCCCCCAGGTATCGGTATCGAAGCTTGACGGTTGAAACGGGAATAGAACGGATGAAGATGAAGAACACATCAGGACACTTGACTGGGCGGCTCATTCCGTCGAACCACCCACCGATTGAACGTGCATCTTCTTCACGCCGGGTGGGCGTGATGCTCGCTTCATGGAACCTGACGCTCGCCCGGTGGAGGCAACACTTGGACCGGTCGTGTGTTACGAATGCAGAAATGCATGTCACCCCCTCTTTCTTCAGAGTTTTTGAAGACATTGAGGCTATGTAAGGTGGTGAAACAAGGAACAATCCAACATAGTTTTGAATGTTTTGAGACCCCTTGACTCACCCATCACTATCACTTTCGCCTTCGGGCACTTAAGGAAAAACAACCTCGAGGTTGAACATCCCAACCAGGCAAGCAGACTGGCTACATACCTACAAGGCACACATACAAAAATAAACCTTGTAAGGTAGCAAGGACATGGTTGTCATTGTTTGTTTCTAGGGATGCCCGAACCTATACTATAGACCCAACCTCCTTGGAAGTGTTCCCGTGGTTCTTGTTGGTCCAAAAGCATGCCAATCAATTAGAAATTAGAAATAAGTCCACAAGGGCCTTGGAGAGTGGAATCTGGACTCCAATCATGCACGGTTTCTGTCCAACATTTTGTTTTCTACTGTATCGAGTGCACCGTGTGTGGGTTCCATCCAGACTCCAACCGACCTCCAGGGACTCGGCCTGGAGAATTCAGAGACCAAGGAGAATGATCAGGACACTTCACCGAAGGCATGTCCAGGGCACCGACTTCGTCGTTCGGAGCACCGAGAAGCAACGACGCGGCGCGTGACGCGTGACGACCATGACTCGACCGTGTCGACCGAGGAGTGTGGGGAGTATTATGACCTCCGCAAGACGCTCCCACGGTTCTACCGGCTCTTTGAGCATCTCAACAAAGGCGCATAGCTTCAGCTGCTTTTCAGCTCTACGGCTGAAAAAAGAAACACACCGTTGCATTGCTTAAGTGTCCATTTTTATGATGTCTCAGTCTCACCCTCAGGAACTCGACGGAACCTTGAGCAAACACGGGAACATGGACAACCGTTGGCTATCTTAATTTAGCTGAACTATTTGTTGTTTAACTTATATTATATACATAATTCTTGGTTCGCTTCAAAGACGTCTTCTGGACCCCAAGGGAACCTGCCCACCTTGGAGGTGAGCGGCCAACTCCAGACATCATGGCTAACGCGCTTGATGTCGTTGAGAGAATGTGTAGCCGAGATGCTCTTGAGAAAGTCATTGATGGGTTCATGCGTATCTTGGTTTGCAGATTTTAAAAACAGCTTGGTCCAGATGTTTGCCCAGTCCAGCTTGACTCCAGTTGAAATGGTCGCAAAGCTGGAAGCGCTCGTTTCAAGAATTTCTAGAGACCTGGCATGACCTGGCTACCAAGGTCTGGATGGATCCTTTGCAGTTGAAGTAGAAAGTGGCTCCATGACTGCACATTGTGAGCGTGGCTGGCACAGTTCGCTTCATAGTGAGTAGCCTAGCATTTCATTTTTTTTTCATGGTATGGCACCAAGACCAGGTATACTGTAATTCCCCAAACAGGTTTACCTGTGAGGGGTTCTTACTCCTTTGAAAGGGGTGCATGACCAGGCCGCATGATTTTAGATTTGTCTCCGGGCTTGCTATTGCTTTTCTGCCACACTGTGGTTGCTGTGGCCGCATGATTTTACACTTGTCTCCCACTGTGATTTTACACTTGTTTTCCCTTTGTCTTCCACCTGTGCCCCACTGTCTCCAGTCTCCTGTGGGGCCGCATTATTTTGACACTTGTGTCGCATTTGTTTCTGACTGTCTCCAGTTCGCTGTGGGTGCTTTGGTCGCATGATTTTACACGTCTCCCACTTGTCTTCCATTGTCTTCGGTCTCCTTTAGGTGCTTTGGCCGCATGATTTTACATTTGTCTCCCACTTGTCTCCCCCTGTCTCCAGTCCCTTGTGGGTGCTCTGGCCGCATGATTTTACACTTGTCTACTGTCTCCAGTCCCTTGTGGGTGCGCTGGCCGCATGATTTTACATTTGTTTCCCACTTGTCTCCCACTGTCTCCAGTCCCTTGTGGTCGCTCTGGCCGCATAACTTTACACTTGTCTCCCATTTGTCTCCCACGGTCTCCAGTCCTTTTGTGAGTGCGGTGGCCGCACGATTTTACACTTGTTTGGTCTTGGACCTGGACCACACAAACTGTTTGGGGTCAACGCTGGTATAAATATATATATATATATAATTGTTTTTTCTTTTAAGTAGTGCTGCCATTGAACAAGAGTTGGTTCGTTCTGTCCGCAACATTTTGACCACCACGACAAGGAATGCTGGCACGTGCATGTCCAAGCATGTTTGGTTCTACAGTGCAGGTCGAGTGGTTCTGCGGCGGCGGCTTTTACATTTGCAGATCCGGTTCAATGGCATGCGGCTCTTTAGGCAAGACTTGGGGTGTGTGCGAAAGTGACCTGCAAACTTTTGTCACTTGGCACTTGAGGAGCTATGCGCCTGTGGTTGACGACAACAAGGGAAGCAGGCAAGAGCGGCAGGATGTGGCAGGTTTTGGTGAAGCCAATGAGAAAAGGACAGGAACCTAATGGTATTCATGATAGGTGTTCCGTATTGTTTGCTACTGTTGTCCACTGAATTCAATGCTGCAAGGCTTGCCTATGCACCAACGACACCAGAGATGATTGAGCGATTCCCACAACGCGTGGACGGCGTTGAGCTGGCGAAGAAGTATCTTCTCGCTCTTTTGCCTCTGACTGAGAGCTTTGCCAAATACATAGACTCATATAGCAGTAGGTTGGAGGCCATCGCAAGTAGGTTGGAGGCCATTGCTTCTATAAACATGGACTCATGTGGCAGTCAGTTCAACTCCGGAAGCAATTATATAGGTTTAGTGGATATCTCATCCCTTTAAGTGAAGTCTTTTGGCCGGTTTGCTTGATGGCCACACATAAGAGGATTTGCGACAGCTTTTGATGTTCTAAGAATTTCCGTGTCAAACTCCAAGTCGCCAAGGAAAGAGGTTCAATCTGCAAGCGTGATGACCATCAAGTGTCCAGCCCCTCAGCAGCAAGAGCTGCCAATGATTTTGCATCGTGGGTATAGCATCACTTTGGATTTGTTTCTGCATCAGGAGAGGCCCCGGGAGGTGGTCGAGCAAATTGTCGGAATTCCTGGTCTGAAGAGTATTCTGGACAACTTCGACATTGCCGTAGAGACTTGGCGCGGAATCTGTGCGGGTTCCGCGTGCGGAAGCTCTACATGGAGAACAATTCGGCATTTTTACCCCAGAATGGTCCAGCATCGTGTACTGATGTTCACTATCGAGAAAAGAAGCCTGTTGTGATGTTTTATGATTTTTGTGTGCCTTCAGAAGCCTGTTTGTAACACTGGTCCATTGGTTGTCATTCTTCAGGACATCCAGAGCAATGCGCCAGCAAATCTACTTTCTGCTTTGGGACTGCCAGCTGGGCATTGCTTCAGAGGTCGCGGTTGGATTTGGGCCGTGACCTCAGTTGATTGGACGACTCCGTTTGGGCGTGGTGCTCTTACGAGGCCTTCTAGATAGTCTTCGACCCCCCCGCCCCCCCCCTGCAGAAACAAGATGAAACAAGAAGACTTTCTTTATCGAAGTCGGAAGCCTTCGATCATGTTCAGGATAATCGCAGAAAAGAAATATATGTTTTCAGACGTTTTCAGCTGGTTGTCAGCATTTGGAGGGTCCTAGACCTGGTCTTACTGCCACTCAAACAGACAATGCAGACAGCGATGGGTCAATCAAGACTTGGATCTAGTGTCATAAAGTCAAAAGGCAGAATGCCAAGGGCAGGCAAAGTTTTTTATAAGCAATAATCTGGCAGCAAAAGCCATAAGGTCAACATTCTGTGGAATATAGTTAAATGTTTGATATAATATTGCTATACGCC